AGAAGACGAGGAAGAAGACGTAAGAAGATGCTGGATGACCTTGGGGACAGAAGAGGATACTGTCATTTGAAGGAGAAAGCTCTAGATCGCATTAAGTTGAGGAATTGTTTTGGAAGAGACTGTGGACCTGTCGTCTTGACAGATTACTGATGATGATGATTAATGGAACCCGAAGGTTCATTGCCTTGTTCTCAAGCTCTCGCCACAGAACCATATCTGCACCACTATAATCTAGTTCACATCTTTATGCTCTGATTTTCTAAGATTAATTTTATATTATCCCATCATCTATAACTAGGTCCTCTATAACTAAATTTCTTTCTTCCGATAAAACTTCTATATGCATTTTTGTCAGTGCCCCAGTTCATACTACGTGTTCCGCCTATGAGCCATATTTTAATTATTGTATTTTGTGAAGAGTGCAAATTATGAAACTCTTCGTTATATAATTTTGATGATCTCCCTGTTGCTTCCTTTTGTCCAAATATTCTCCTCGGCAATCTGTACCCAAACACCTTTCATCTGATTTATTCTTTTAGTCTGAAAGACAAAGTTCCTCACGCATGAAACATTTGCAATTATAAATTTACACAGTTCAGTTCGATTCTTGGGTGTGGCTAGGGGAGATATGAAAGATTCTGAACTGGACTGTAGGAAGCGCCCCCCAAACTCAATCTGCTTTTACACCTTCGAGTGAAAAGAGAAATATCTGCGCTATATCCTTAGACACACTAAATCTGAATTCTTTTCTTAGGCCGCAAAAATTGCTCGCGCATAAAACAGATATAATTATAACTGTACCTATACATTATAGTCTCTGGATTCTCAGGTGTGGCTAGAAGTGATACAGAAGATTCTGAACTGATGGATTCCCCCAATTAATCTGCTCTTGCACCGCCGACTGAAAAGTCGATAATTACTCCCTCAGTGGGGCTGCACCTGCACAAAAATTCTTTCCAATTTCCGTGTCTGTTGGTTCGTAGGAGAGAGATTTAAAGTCATAGAGGTAAGCTTGAAACTAATTTTCTCTCTGATTACGTAGCTCTGAAACCATCAGGTTGGAAACCTCATTTCCGAAAAGCTAACGTAAATGGATAACATGCAATATTTTGAACGGTCATTTTGATTTTTTGCAGGAAAATAATGGTACGAGACCGACCAAATTAATCTTTGACTTGTTTCTTCTCAATATTACTTTTAAAAAGAGTATAAACGCAGAGAATTTCCACGGGGGATATACTCTAGGTCGACACAGTCCTTGCCAAAATGAACGACCCTTTTCTAGCCCTTCTGCTTGAGCTTCCTTAAT